CAGCAACATGTACAGTAGCTCCGGTACGGGGCAGGGACAAGGAGGTTATACGGACGATACCACGGGGGCACCAAGAAACAACCGAATTATGCAACACTTTCCTTTCCCTCTGCCCTCAAATGAAGTAGAGTTGATCTTGGCGTCCTGGTCGAGTCGGAGCTTTTAGCCAAAACGCCGCCTGTATTACCACTCCTTCCCTCCACAGCACTTTGGCTGCCATATGCAAGAGGGCACTGTTGGTACACTGATATTACAGTCATCTAATTATCATCTTGTAGAAACGTGGATTTCCCCAGCCCTCGTCATACCAACCCACTGGCCTTGAGAAACCTCATCTTGACACCCTCCCACGTGTTCAGCTTGGGCCGGACATCCAAGTAAAAGTTCAGCTTCCCGTTGGCACTATCGGCGCCGTTCCTCCCCGAGTAAAAATCGATTACGTATTCCACCTGTGTCCCGCACCGGTCGACGACCCAGTCGTGCCGGTCAAAGGGCGCCTGGTATCCCAAGAGGGTGTTTATCCTCGCCCGGGGGGTCATCTTGGTGCTGAGACCAGCAAAACTGTGCAGGCGTGGCCCTCCGCATTTTCCGTATTTGGTGAGTCCATTGCCATTCGTCTCTGGCGCGGCATATGAGGACGAGGAAGGAGGCGCGTTGTACGGCGCTTCCCATTGTAAAATCTCTTGCCAGGCCCGCTCATTGACGGCGTTGTGGATGGGCACCACCGTCTTCATGTCGACTGGGTGGGCCGACGTGTTTCCCTTGCGGCGCATGGCTTCGAAAAACATCTTCTCCGAGGGGTAGATCCATTTCCCGCTGGACGACGCGCCGGTTTCGATCTCATGGTTGGATGGGCGCAACGCTGCTGGGTCGGTCGGGGAGGTGGGCGCACGGGGAATCGAGGATATCACGCGGTTCTCGTCTAGTGTCGACTGTGGTGATTTCGCGGCTGGTTTGTCATCGGAGGTTGAAGCCTGCTGTTGGGAGAAGGGGAGCCGCGGAAGCCATGAAGTCCACGAGGAGCTCTGGGTTTGAGATTGTGCCTGTTTCTGTTGTTGCTGCTGCTGCTGCTGCACCGTGGCGGCTGTTGATGTGGAAATAGGGGGGTGAGGAATTGGGCTCTGTCCTCCTCCGGCTGCTTCTTGGGCTGCGCGAGCTTGCTGGAGCCAGGCCTCGCGAGTCTTGTGGTCGACCGGGCACTTGGCCTCATCACCAGCACTGCTGCTGTCGCTGCTGGAATTGGTCATCTTGCCCCGGCTGTGTTTCGAGGTGGGCTGATTACTGCCCGTGTCCACCGTCGACGGCGCTTCAACCTGGCTAACGAGAACGGTATCGAGAAGGTCAGTAGTCTGCATGGTGACAAGACGAGGGCAGCATCCTGGTGTCAAGCGAAGGCGCCTTTCTGGCAGGGACTGCGGAGCTTCTGGCGGAGCTGTTTTCGAGATGTTGTGCAGGGGTTCAAATTTCAAAAGTCTCAAGTTGCAGGGATCCGAGTCAGCCAACAAAATCCAATCCCGCGGCCGGCAACCTGGAATGGGACCTGGTGTAATTACTACTGCATACAGTTGTCGGCAACTGGCAAGCCAAAACAGCTCCGATGTTCCCGCACACCTGACTTCGACCTTGAATATGGAAAACCACAAACTCGGAATATCAAGACAGGATCTGTTACTACCTACCCATTTGACGCTGTCCCGAGCCGTTCGACCTCGAGATTCGTCCTCATGATTTCGTGAAAACATTTAACAGTGGTTCTGAACAAGGCTTGGCATCGCATGGCGACCCGGGGATACCTAGCTGCGTTCCGATTTGACCCGAGCTGTCCGAATGCTCACAATTGTCATGGTAGAAACTGAGCTACATGTCTGTCTATAGCCATCAAAACATGTCCGTGTGAAGCAAGGGCATTGTTGTGCCTTGAGAATACCAACTGGCCAGAGCAAGGTTTATTTATTCTTGTTTGTCACATTCTCGCGACCCAACCACCACGGCCTGGCTATCCGGACCATCCGTTGAGCAGCCTTCCACCCCAGTGCGAGGCTCGCCGGGACTCTCTCAGGGACTATATACAGTTTTCCATCTTCCCAGCTCATCGCGCGGCGCCATGTGCCCAGCCTCTAACTTTTGGTAGCCGACAAGAAAGGAAAGAGAAAGGAAAATGCGCATTCTCTTGATGCGTCGAATGGAGATGTGTGCAACGTAGCGCGTGAGAATCCCAATCTGTCAATGGTATTCTGGTCCTCGGTTGTTTAGTACAACGTAAACGCCTGATAAACTTCCCTCCGCGTCCTCGATGGCGTGAGTAATTGGGGTTTCCACCCCATGTGAGGGCTTGCCATGATTTCCCATGGTTGCCCAACCTGCTTGTCATTGTCGTTCCGTAACGTCGTACTGCCACTGTCGTCTACAGTTTGTTCCTGGACTCATGATATCTTGTTCCCGAATCCCGTCTTCATGAGAGATATCACTCGACTCCAAAATGCCGCCTTTTGTCGTGTCCCGTGCGGCCCAGTTGTCACGCTGGGACCACCCTCTCTCTACGCCCCGTCCGTCGCAGAGGACTCAAAAGAATGCAGTCGCACCGCCCGTCTCAATAGCCTCGATCTCGTCGGCAGTAAGGGGGGTGCGGTGGTACCTGGCGGGAAGCTGGTTGCGATCAAAGACAACACCACTGCCACGGGGCGGCTCGACGGGTCCGAGTTCCGAGCCAGACGAGCCGCCAATGCCTGCATCAGCCGACTTGATAGTCTTGCGGAGGGGCCCAAACTGTTGAGCGTGGTCTCGATACGAGCTGAAGGTGTTGTGAGAAGAGGTGAAGGAGGCTGGAAGCGAATGGGTTGGCGACTGAGGGTGAGGTTGGGGGGTGTGGTCGACGGAAGCTGGAAACAAATCAAATCAGCCAATGGACAAGGTTGCGATACTGAGAAAAGAAGGGGCCAAGAACGAACCAGGAATTGTGCGCTTGCCGATGAACTTGATCGAGGGAACACGCTCAGCGTGGTGGGCAGCTTGGCGCAAAGCTCTGGTGGCAAACATGGTTGCGGTGATTATAGGTGAACTCGTGGTTTGGTGTTGGGAAGTTTGTCGAAAAGTTGTGTGTCGGGTGGATGACCAAGACAATGCCGAGCGCTCAACCGAATTTCTCCTCGCGACGATTGCTGTCCTGGAATGTTGTTGAAGTTGTCGTTGGGATTGTAACGGGAAGCGGTATGGAAGTGGACGAAGTGAATTGGCAACAGTCGACTAAAAGGACAGATCGGGCGAGGAGAACTGGCTGCAGCGGTGGGTGCGGATGGCAGTGATGTCGGTGGAAGGACCGTGAGGATGAATGAAAGGGTGTGGATGCGGAGGGCAGCACCGGAAGATAAATGCATTTTTTCACAAGCTTCTGCGGCCCAGGTTCCAGCCAAGAGGCAGTTGAAAGGGTTGCATCCTTCCCACAGCCCAGCACTGACCCCACGGAGCTGGCCGCCAAGTCAGCGAATCAAGCCAATCAGAGACGCTTTTTGATGACAGGCTCCCCTGGTCTCGAACCAGCAAACCCCGAACTCCGGAGGGAAATGCGCTGTAAACTGCAGAACTGGTACTGGCAGTTAAACCGCGCTCTCGTCCCTCTCAGATCTGGACACCCTTCGGCCTCCTTCCTTCACGAGCAATCAACGTGGTCAACATAGAGATGCTTGCGTTGTCCCTACTCCTTTGCTCCATTGCGGGGAAGTGACATTGGCTCACCCGTTATCTTTGTACAGTAGTAAGGTTATTGTTAATATTAACCCAGAGAATGGAAACTGATGGTCCTTGTCAAGCCCCTCCGTGCATCCCCACCTCCCGAATCCTCCTGCTCCATGCTCTCGGCATGCACCAGACGGCCATTGGAAAGATTCCATGCGCAATTCTCGTGTCAAATCCAACCGCAAAGGTAGCGCAAGTTGCAACGCTCATGCTCCGTCCTCTGGGAGATCGTGCCACCCTTCCCCGCTCGCACCTTGATGGCGTAGGATGCTCAAAGATTCGCGACAGATCCAGCGAGGCAAGCTTTGGCGGGGTTGGTGGTCCTCTCCGCAGCTCCGGGATTCGGCGGCTAGAATCGACCCACTCGTGACAAAATGGACGGCTGCCCAACCGAACCCCTGAACGGATTACACAAACAAAAACGTTGCGCCAAGATTGATAGCATCGACACGGACCGGAGCTCTTATCCGTACATACACTGAGAATACCTTTCCATCCTGCTAGCTAACTACTGCTAGGAAAGTCCCCCGGATCATGGTGTTCAAAGCGACGACTCCTCCATCAGCACTTCAGCAAAGATAGGTTTTCAACTAACCCAGACTGGTGTTGCCATTCATCACGCCCATGAGGTGATTTTTGGATCTTTGGGGTTGCAACATGGCCCAACTCCCCCACGTCCCCGCGTTTGCTCACACCCTGTCTAATGCATCTCAAACTGGCCCGTCTGCCATTCTGCAGGGCCAAGGCTCAGAATGGGCGTTTGAGCATGTGTTCAATCTTGAAAAACAAAGGGCACAAGGGCTCGCCGATGCCCCACCCGCACCATCTGAAATTCGCAGCGCAACCCAACAACGCAGACTTTTCTTCATGTGCCTACGGATACAGGTCTCACAGAGCCTAGGCCTAACCATGCATGTGCAGATTTCTCTGCCGGTTTCTGCTGAGGACGTGTCCGTGTTGGACGTGGGTATGAGCCTTTACGACCTCAGTGGTTCTGCTCGGATATCACGTCTACCGAGTCGTCTACGTGTACAGCGTAGGTATTCCTTGGGCGGATCTTCAGGAGGTCCTGAATGTGATCCACTCCGGAATCACTCCGCATTCTCCGGTCAGTCCAGCCACCCGAAGCCTCAAATGCCGCATCCCAATCGGACCTCCAACAGGCCAATCGGCTCTGTGCTAGGACCCCATCATCAATGGAGACTCGAGAATGAGCGCAAGGGCTTGATAGGGTTCAAGAAATTGCTCGTTCCCACAACAAACGTACAGCCCGATTAGCTCAGCTGGTTAGAGCGTCGTACTAATAGAATTCTCACATCCGTTCTACCCTCTCCATCAAGAGAGGGGCGAATAGAGGTTCTAAATAGTCATGCGAAGGTCAACAGTTCAATCCTGTTATTGGGCATCTCCTTTTGTTCCTGGGCCGTCGTTGCTGTCCTGTTTATTTTTTTTCTTTTTCTGGCTGATTAATACAACGCAGGGTGATTACATGGATATGGCCTTCACAACGACCTCCGTTTGTCTCTTCCATCTCCTTCCCTTCTATTTGTCTTTCCATGTTCATGTTGCTTCTTCCATGACGACAAAGGCGCGCACCACGACTGTCTCCTGATCAAGGTTCTTTCCGCCAGCATCGCCGCACTTGACCAGCATGGGACTGCCCATCAGCCTGATCTTCCCAGCCACGTCACTTTCGACATCGGCTCCGTCGACTACGCCAACGGTGTGCCCCAGAGCTGTAATGAAATCATCGTCTTCTTCTTTGGTGAACTTGATGTCCTTCAGCGAGGGACTCTTTAGAGCAAAAGCCGCCCGCTCGCCCATGAGCAACCTCGAAAGCCCCAGGGCCTGGTTGATCGCCTCGTCTAGCCGCTTCTTGAAGTCGCCTTTCTCCGTGGCAGCACGCTCAACGTCCTCGACGGCCACCTTGGTGCCTGGTGGAAGCAGACGCTTGTGGGTGAACGCCGCAAAGTCAAGGGCTAGCTGCCGTCCAAGTTCCTTCTTCTCGTCGTCGGACTCTGGGTGGGCATTCAACTGCCGGATAGTAACTGACCGCCACTTGCCTGCGTTGTCATTTGTCTCTGGTGCCCTCGAGTTAGTTGTCTGCATTGAAGACGGGGTGACGCCAAATTGTGCATCAGCACTTACCGTGATCGGGAAACAGCCGGTCAAAGGGGAAACTAGCTGCGAGCTCTCCCACTGAGCCACCATATGATGCGAATGGCGTCGACCGGTCAAAGAGCTTTGCGGAAAAGAACTTCCAGATGACCTGGCGCAGCAGGAGCTTCTTCTCTGATTCCGAGAGCTTCTCTTGGGACAGCGGCGGTGCGACGGAGTCCTTCCACAAGACGGACCGGTCCCATTCGATGAGCGGGTCGGTGAGCACGAGCTTGGTCAGCTCTTTGGCTTTGCTGAGCTTGCCAACCGCCCCGTTGAGGAGCTTGAACTTCTCGATGGCCATGGAGTCGAAATTCGGATCGAACCTGTCCACCGCTGTCAAGACCTCTTCTTGGAGTCTCTTCAGCTGGTTTTCCGTCTGAGCGGAACGCTCAATATCTCGCGCCCAGTCGAGCTCGGCCTGCTTGAGGTCTTTCTTTCCCACAGCTCGGAGAAAGGCGTTAGTGTCGTGGAAGTGTCTGAGCAAGGCCTCGTGCTGCTTCCCAAGCTCAGCCAACGACGGTGACTGGTCGGGCCGGTCTTCTCTTCCAGGTGCCGGGCGAGTGCCCTGCTTTGCCCTGCTCGCAGTCTGAGTCTGCTCTATATGAGCTTCGAGCTTCTTGACATAGTCCTTGTAGTACTCCTTTCTGTTCATGAGTGTCTCGTACTCTCCGATGGGTACACAGGTTTGATGTTCTCTCTCCTCGCGCTCCAGCTTTTCTCGTAAGCGATCGTCAACTAGATGCACCGACCGTGGACGGGGTCTTGATGTCGCCGGGCCGTCTTCTTGCCCCCGCGCTTCTCGATCAAATGTACGACTCCGAGATGGACGGGGACGGGGTGAGGCGTCCGCATCGTCTCTGCTGCCGAACAAAGCCCTAGAGTCCATGTTTCGTTAGCACAACAATACCGAACGGAGAATCTTGGCTGGGTTTGTGCTTACGACCTGGTCATGGTGTCAAATGGGAACAATGAGCCCTTTTCTAGTCTTGATCAAACGAAGAACCTCTGGGAAAGAGGAACCATGTGAGAGAGGGGGCCAGGTCAGGAACACCGCCAGTGTGGTGTGGCCCTCAAGGACACAAGAGTCTGGACGCCTGAACAATCAGGGACATTATCCCTCCATGGTCACAAAGTGCAGCTTCCCTCAAATCAGAAAAGAGTCCTCGGGTCAAGAACGCCTGTGGCTTCAATAAATTGAGCGGTTATCTTGAACCCCCTGTCTTCAGCTGTAAGCCACACTGTCCAAATAGCAGCACACTCATTCGGGCGAGAGCCTTGCCTTGAACATGGACTTGAATCTCGAAATGCCCCCCTCCCCTTGAACCCCTCTTCTCTCGTCGTTTCTCGAAGAATCCATCCTTGACCCTTTTATCACAATCTTGTCTGTGGTGCTTCTTTCATCTAAATCTGTCGTCGTAATGGCTGGATACGGAGCAAAGGGCGCATCTGGTGCAGCCCGGATGGTCATCGGGCTCGACTTTGGAACTACCTACTCGTAAGGAACTGCAAAATCCGGTCTTGGGGTTCCCTTCAGACTAACAGCCATCTCACAGTGGTGTGGCCTACTGCGATGAACGCGGTGCGAGGGAAGGGACGGCTGGGGTCAAGCTCATCACCAGCTGGCCCGGTATCATCAGCCAAAATGCAACCAACGAGTATGTCGTCCCTTCTCAATATCGTCAAGGTGAATATGGTCAGCATGCTCACATCAAGTTGGGGTGTCACTTTCCAGAAAGGCCCCATCTCGTATTGCCTACGGCCCTCCTCCAGCTGCCGAGATTCTATGGGGCAACCAGATCAAGGCCAATTGCAAGTCGACGGTGCACGCATGCATGAAGCTCCGGCTCGACGAAAAGATGAAGGGCTCGGAGCAGTTCCGGCACCTGCTGGCCTTTCTCACCTCGCGGATGACGGATCTCGACATCGACGTCGACGACCTCCTCGACAAGCCCGACGGGCCGCCCGAGTACCCCGGCAAGGACCCCGTCGATCTGGTGGCAGACTACCTGACCAGAGTCCGAGGCGCCGCCTGGGCCGAGATTGAGAAGACATATGGCAAGGAGATGTTTGCCTCGATGCGGAAAGAGCTCGTGGTCACGGTGCCGGCTGTCTGGTCGGAGCGGGCCAAGGACCTGACCCTCAAAGCAGTGCAGCGGGCCCATTTCAACGCCGACAAGATGTCCCTTGTGACCGAACCTGAGGCGGCAGCCATTTACACGCTGAAGGACATCATGGAGGGTCCCAACAAGAATGATGTCAAGGTACGTTGACCCAGTTCCCGTTCTCGACTGTCCGACTAAGACGCATGGAAACCCGGCTAGGTTGGCGATGTTTTTGTATTGTGCGACGCGGGCGGCGGAACTGTCGACTTGATCTCGTACAAAATCACGCAAATCCAGCCAACGTTCAGGATCGAAGAAGCCGCTATTGGAAGTGGCGACAAGTGCGGTGCTACCTATGTGGACAAGGTATGTCTCCTCCAAACCGTGCAGAGTAGGTGGCAAGACTGACAAAAGTCCATAGGAGTTCCTGGCCTGGCTCGAGAACTGGATTGGGTCTGAGGCTTTCCAAAAGATTCCGGCAACCAAGACCAGGCACGGCAGTCAGATGATGACCACCTTTGAGACGGCCAAGTTCAACTTTAGTGGTGACGACGATGATATGGAAATCCGCATCCCGGCTGAATGTGGCATTGACGATGATGAGATGCTCAACATTGAGGATCGCACATTGTCTTTTAAACAAGAGCAGATGCAGCAGGTCTTTGATCCCTGCGTCAACCGCACGCTCGAGCTCATTGACGGCCAGGTCGCCAGCGTCATGAATGCCGGCCTGGGCAAGCCCAAGATGGTCTTTGTCGTCGGCGGCTTCGGTCGCAATCCCTATCTCTACAAGAAGATTCAGGAATACTGTTCTCAGCGTGGCATCCAGACACGCCAACCCCCGCACCCGTGGTCGGCCGTGGCTCGCGGCGCCGTCTGTCGTGGTCTAGAGGGCGTGGATGGCGGCCTCGTTGCTGTCCGTCTGGCCCGCAAGTTCTACGGTACGCCGGCGGCTGAACCCTTCCGACCTGGTTATCACGACCCGGACGACATGTTTATTGACGAGCTTACCGGGCGCAAGATGGCTCGTGGCCAAATGACGTGGCTCTGTGAGCGGGGCGACAGGCTGTCCGAAGACCAGCCGAGGACGATCGGCATCGAGGTCTGCAGGCGATTCGAGGCCCACGAGGAGCGTGAACTGGCTGCTGTTCTTGTCGGATGCAGCGAGGATGTCGCCCCACGGCGGTTTGCCGACAATGCAGCCCAGGTCATCTGCAAAGTGCGAGGCGACTTCAACGACGTCCCCCTGTCCAGCTTCCCCAAGTCGAGAAGTGCCACGACAGGGAGGGAATACTACGAGGTTGACTTTAAGCTGGAGGCCACTTTCCTGGGCGGAGAGATTACCTGGAAGCTGCTCTACAAGGGCAGGGAGTACGGATCCACCAGCGTGAGCTACGATGAGTAACATGTGTTATTTGGGGATATGTTGAGCAATTGGCCGAAACATGATATTAGAGGAGGCCTCAGGGGATGGCTATAATAGTTGATATTTTGTAATTTTTGAAGCGAACATTGTATGTCCTTTTTCCCGAGTTCTCTGTGTATCACCCAACTGCCATGTGAGTTGAGCAAGTTGAGATCAGCAATCTCACGACTGCCTCGACTCCTGAAGCGCCCCCAGCTACTGCAGTTATCAAGCCCGTGCAAGACTGCAAGTTCCCTGGACTGGCTCTCTGCATTTGCATGACTCTCTGTCCAGATTTGGAAATTCGGTAACAAAGTGATGATAGCATGGGCTGCTCGCGGGTTGTGATTGGGCGCCGAGGTTTCTTGAGCAGCTCGTGGAGATGAAGTCTGTTGATAGGCGCTATCAATTAATGCAGGTTGTCGGACATGATTCTCACAGAGCCTCAATCATCCCCTTTCAGCCGTGCAACACCTGGGTCTAGACTCCATATCAAATTCTTATTTTGACAAGTGGAAGCGAGCATAGTGCCAATAAGAGCGACAAAACCTATGATAGCCGGAGTCGAGCTTTGATGCTTGTGTGGCTGAAGCCCCCTTTGATAGTTTACCAGACAACTTTCGATGTTGGAAGCATTGCCATGGCGAAGCTGTTTCCGTTTCGAGCGCTGGATATTGGTTCCCCTAGAATGGCTGTGTGCCTCTGTATGGCAAAAAAAGACAGCACGGGTTGTAGCCA